TATTTGTCATTAACATAAATCAGAGGCCAACACATCAACAAGAAAGAAGGGAGGAGATGGGCCCCAAACCTCCTGATCAGACGTAGAACCGGCTGCTCGTGCAAGAACATGCGCTACTTGGTTGGCTGATCTTTTCACAAACATAAATTGACAACTACCAATGTCCCTGGCAAGGGATTTACACTCTTCAACTATTGAACCAAAATAAGATAAATCATCCTGGTCAGATGTAATAGCTTGGATCACCAACTGTGCATCAGATTCCAAAACCACATTATTGAGTCCCAAAGTCTTAATCGCTTCCGCAATCATAGCATCCAACGGACCAGCAACTATACCATTCTTGGCTGCCAACATGGTTCCTTCAGCATTCCTTACCACACTGCCATAACCAATACGCCTAGAGTGACCAAAAAGAGCTGCATCAACATTGCATTTATATGTACCTGTAGCTGGCTTCTCCCAAGTCAAGTTAGCATCAACAGCCCGTGCTTCACCATGACTGGTAATAACTTGAGCGTTCCTCCACTGCTCATGCAATGAAGAAGCCATAGTCACCACTTGCCCTTCCTGAACTCTGCCATGACGCCAAACTAGATCATTCCTGCTGTTCCAGAGGACCGTAAGCACGCGTGTCCACCATTCACCAAAACTCTCCTCAGACCCGCTGTTATCACCTATCCAAGATAAACTCCAAACNGAATTTAAAAAATTAATAATAAATCATAGTTGAGTTTGAATTCAATGCTGTCAATTTTTTTTAAACTTTAGACAATACGTACTATTATTTTAATCAGTTGGACTGTAATTTTCTATTTTTTTCATAATTTTTGTGTAATTTTAATTTTTTGATAATTCTCTTTTTTATTTTGGGAAAGAATTTAAAAAATTAATAATAAATCATAGGATAGTCTAAATTCAATGTCACTAATTTTTTTAAACTTCAGACAATGCTTACTTTTATTTGAATCAGTTAGATTGTAATTTTTTATTTTTTAATAATTTTCGTGCA